CGATGATCCCCTAAACCAGCGATACTACGTGGAGGTGCATGCATTGTTTGGTGTGGCATGTTTGGTATAGTGAATCGTAGAAGGTGATTAACGTTCTGGTTGTTGGGCCACAACGTAGGTTTTATTGAGTGGTCTGGGCTACATGAGTCATGAAATAGCGGAAAGTTCCGTATTTATGGAAACAGAATCTTTTTTCACCAGAAAAAAATCCGTTCCGTTTCTGTTTTTGTTTCCGCGTAAAAAGTTCTGTTTCCATTCCGCTACCTTCATATTTCCTCTCCATTTTTGTGTTACTCGAAAAATCGAGAAAATTTCCGCTCCTTTTTCATCCCTAAGCTAAATCACTTCAAGCCCTCTTATATGGGCCAGTTGCTTTGGAAGAACCTTTCATGATGTCTTTGTGTTGTCAAGAGATAGTTGATGCGGATATGGTCGCTACTGTACTTTGCCGATCACCGTTTTGATTGCCTCGGTTTTTTTTCCTCGCATAGGCATAGCTTTGGTCTTTTATGACTTTGCTCTTTGCCGATGTGTTTTTTCGCGTGTATTGGTGTTGGTTGTATGCATCCTAGTTTATGCAGAGACCTGGTGTGTCCTCATTGTGTTTATATCTCCTTGATGCTTCATTATGAGTCAATAAAATTCACTCTTTGTCAAAAAATATGGGCCAGTTTCTATACAACCCATTATCTTTTCTTTTTCTCGATAAAACATATATATTATTTATTAAATAAAGTTGACAAATTTGTCAAAAAATAATAACAAATGGAAACATTCATATATTTCTGAATTAATAATGGCCAAAAAAATGTTCTCATGTTTAAAAAATGTTCACATATTTATGAAAAATAATAATCATATTGTAAGAAACTACTCATTCATTTATGTGACTGCGATTTGGGTTCTATTATTTGCATAGCGCGTAGAATAGGATTTGCCGGGAAACTACCCCAACCTTCACTATTATCTGTAATGAAAATCACTTGACCCAGGATCCCTAAGTATGTTGGAGACTGCACATGTCTTATTGTCCCTATTGTCACTTGAACGTAGAGAATAACTAGTACGTAGCACTAAATTCAGTTGCACCGGTGGTGGTACTGAAAACCACCTTTAGCATTTGATCAAGCTTGAATCAAGGTTAATTTAGCCATTTCAATGTTCCTTGTGATATATAATAAAGTTACCCATTTCAGGGAAACAAAGGAAAATCGCAAAGTACTACGAGAAGCAGGAGAGTCTCCTCAAGGATTTCAGCGAGATGGAGAGCATGAATGAGCTCGGTTTCTTGGATCAGAACAGTGCTCCTACCGAGGTACTACAAATCCAGAATCCATTGTTACATGCGTAACAGCTTTCTACTAACAAATGCTCCTAGCTACTACTCCCACTACTCAACTGATACTTGCTACACGTCCTCACTGTTGTCTTTAAATAGGAAGAGCTGCGGCAATTGGCCAAGGGCGAAAAGCTGGCGATCAACCTGTCCAACATCATCAACCTGGTGCTGTTCGTCGGGAAAGTCGTCGCTTCCGTCGAGACCCAGTCGATGGCAGTGATCGCGTCGACGCTGGACTCGCTGCTGGATCTCCTCTCAGGGTTCATCCTCTGGTTCACGGCGCACGCCATGAAGAAGCCCAACAAGTACAGCTACCCGATCGGCAAGAGGCGCATGCAGCCAGTGGTATATACATATGCGATTCTTCATGCACTCCGACCATGTGTTTGCATTGCGAATGTTGATGAGTTGCTGACATTGTCGCAGGGGATCGTGGTGTTCGCGTCGGTGATGGGGTGCCTGGGGTTCCAGGTGCTGATCGAGTCGGGGCGGGAGCTGGTGACGCAGGAGCACACCACGTTCGACACCTGGAAGGAGATGTGGATGGTGGGCAGCATGTCGTCCGTGGCCGTCGTCAAGTTCTTCCTCATGCTCTACTGCCGGACCTTCAAGAACGAGATCGTCCGGGCCTACGCGCAGGACCACTTCTTCGACGTCATCACCAACTCCGTCGGCCTCGTCAGCGCGCTGCTCGCCGTCAAGTACAAATGGTGGATGGACCCCGTCGGAGCCATACTGGTAAGCCTCCAAGATCTACTTCTACAATGGAAACCACAGAGGTTTGAAGTGTAATTTGAATGGCCATGGCGTTGCATGCATGCAGATCGCGCTGTACACGATCACGACGTGGGCGCGGACGGTGCTGGAGAACGTGGGCACGCTGATCGGGAGGTCGGCGCCGGCCGAGTACCTCACCAAGCTCACCTACCTCATCTGGAACCACCATGAGGAGATCCGGCACATCGACACGGTGAGGGCATACACCTTCGGGACGCACTACTTCGTGGAGGTGGACGTGGTGCTCCCCGGCGACATGCCGCTCAGCCAGGCGCACGACATCGGGGAGGCGCTGCAGGAGAAGCTGGAGCAGCTGCCCGAGGTGGAGCGTGCCTTCGTGCACGTCGACTTCGAGTTCACCCACCGCCCAGAGCACAAGGCCGACGTCTGATCTCTCTCATCATGCTCTTCTCCTGAAATATGCATGGTATTGAGAATGTATGTGTGTGCATGCCCTGTTTTTTGCCATGCCTTTCACTTGAATCTCCTGGTAGGCAGTTGTATAACGGCTGTGACCTTAAAGGTCATGTCGCGTCTTAAATTATCACTCCCAAGCCGAGGTATAGATATTGCCCAAAGTGTACTCTTTGGTTATCGCTTCATAGGGTTTCGAACATAATCGTCGGTATCTCTCCTTGCATGCTTTCTCGTGTCTCGAGTCAATAGAAAGACAACGTGTGATCTCTCTTTGAATTCTTAAGATTGTTTGTCTCGTGGTACTTAGAGCATCTACAGCCGGATATGTTAAATATGGCTCTTCAAACGCCCGCGGGTAGATAATGCACTCCTCAACAATGACGCCTAGACTGAAACGTCAATCAGTTTGGAAAGAGGGATGTTTCAGGTTTGATTCTCGACTTGACGGCTTGGGTGTACGATTCAAGAGGTCACGAGTTGAATTCTCTAATTGTACATTAATGTTCACAAAGAGACAAAGCTATATATGATTCACCTTTGCTGGTGCTATACACATCTCTTCGAAGAACACGTGAGTTAAAGTATCTCGAGTCTCTCAATGAAGAATATGAAAATGGACATGGTTCCTTTTGGTCAATACAGTTTTAGACTAGTCACAATGGGAGTAACTTAACTAGTAACATCACACATTTTAATACAAGATGTGGCAGCTAATTAATGAGAAGAGATGGGTTTGTGATAACTTAGGTAGTTACTGTAACATCACACATTTCAAGGTATAATTAGTCTATAGCCTAATAAATGAACTCTTTCTAGCATCACACAACATGTGGTCTCACACATCAAATTTTCTACCACACAAAAAATTTTGGAATTTTTTGAATTTGTTTTGTATGTGTTACGAATTTTTTTTCTAACCAGGTGCGGATGAGCCTGGGCACCGAAACGCCTACTCGTCTAGAAAGTGCTACTTTTGCTTATCGCTTCATTGTGTTTTTGAACATTTCCGCCAAAAGGGGACATCTCTACTTGAACCAACTGTGCTCATACCGCTCTACCAAAGAAACCACCTGAACCAACACAAGAGAAGATGGCCACAACTTGTCGTATCGCTGCTCGTACCGATGGCACGCAAACCCCTTGAGACACCAGGAGGGAATATGGAAAATGCTACTTTTGCTTATCGCTTCATTGTGTTTTTGAACATTTCCGCCAAAAGGGGTCATCTCTCCTTGCATTACCCGCGCTCGTACACGCGATCGTGCCAAGGTCAAAAACCTTCTCTCATGAAGTCTTTATTAAGTCATCCCAATGTTCACACAGACAGAAGAAAGATCTCCGGAATGACCTAACTAAACATGACGGCCACCACTGAGAGAGAATGCATGCTTCGCTAAATTGTGAGCTTCAAAATCTAACCTCCTAAACTCAAATCTAACCTCTATTATTGTCTAGAAAGTGCTACTTTTAGTTATAGCTTCATTTTCGCCAAGCTATGCATTGTTTGACTTCACGCAAAATATAGAGCGTCTGCTATGTGTGGGCTAGCTGATATTTGTAAAAGATCAGTCGGGTCATGAGCCATTTGAATTGGTGTGATCGAGCAGCCAGCGTCACGTCGTGAGGCCCTTGCAATACCAACAACATTGCAAAGGCCTTTGCAACAGAAACGTTATTGCAGAGGCCCTTTACAACACATACGACATTGCAGAAACGAAAAGTAGCAACGATGGTTGTTGCATGGATCAGGCTGCCATCATGGTAACACAGATGACGTTGTGAAGGCCCTTTGCAACACGGAGGACATTTTGAAGCCTTTGCAACACGAATGATATTGCAGAAGCGCGGAGCAACAATGATGATTGCTGCTCGGATTAGGTTGCCACCATGGCAACATGAACGCTGTTTTGAAGGCCCTTTTCAACACGGACAACGTTGCTAAGCCTTTTGCAACACAAACGACATTGTGAAGCGTATGCAACACGTGTGGCCCGGTGTTGCAGCAGCAAAGCTCTGTGGCCGTAGGCCTCGCCATATGTGTCGCGAGGAGAATGGACTGTCAGAGGAGATGGATGAGAGAGAGATGGTGGTCAAGCCACACATGGCGGTCAATGCGTGATGAGCGGGTCGAGGGAAAGCTTTTCCCCAGATTACATAGGCCTTCTTCTGGATTAGTCTTCTGACACCTTGTATTGAGGTCCGGTATTTGTGCGTTGTCAACGGAACCATGTTCACGCTAGTTTTTCTAAGACTTGTGGCGAATTTTGTATAGGAAAAATGGCGGCTAAGCCACTTGGATTGGTGTCGGTGCCCTTAGTATACTTCGGGTTGGTTAAGTACTACTTGTATACTAAGCCAAAGTTAGCCATAGTTAAGTACGTGTCGGCCTGTAATCTGCAATTCTGCACCGAGCGACCGACCAGTTGAGCCAAAGAGACAAACCTACACTAGTCCACGATCGAGCAGGATGAAGTTCGCTGTGACCCAGTGCTCGCTGCCGGTGCTGGTCGGCCCGTCGGAGCCCACGCCGGCCGGCCATCTGCCTCTCACTTCCACTGACAAGGGCTGCCTCTACCTGCCAGTCACGTCGCTCCACGTCTTCGACCGCCCGATCCACGAGCCGGCTGAGATCATACGGCGCGCGCTGTCCCATGCACTGGTCCACTACTACCCCCTCGCCGGTCGCCTCGACGCCAGCGGCCCGGACGTCCAGCTCGCATGCACCGGTGATGGCGTCGAGTACGTCGCCGCGACGGCGAGCTGCACTCTGGAGGACGTCAGTTTCCTTGACTCGCCTCCGGTGGCCCCTCTGGACGCTTTTGTCGTCCGGTGTAGCGATCGCGTCCGAATGTCAGATTGCCCGCTGCTGATGATGCAGGTCACGGAGTTCGCCTGCGGCGGATACGTCGTCGGGGCGACGTGGAACCATGCCGTCGCCGACGCCTTCGGGATGGCCCAGTTCCTAGGGGCCGTCGGCGAGCTCGCGCGCGGGCTGCCCACGCCGTCGGTCGTTCCGGTGAGGCACGACGCGGCGCTCCCGGAGATCCCGCACCTGTTGGGCGCCGTGGGGCCGTACCTGGACTTCACGCACGCCGAGTACGCCCGCACGGACGTGACCATCCCTTGGAGCTTCATCAACCGCGTCAAGGCAGAGCACTGCGGCGCGGACCACCAGCCGTGCTCGACGTTCGACGTCGTGGCGGCCGCGGTATGGCGGTGCCGGACCCGCGCGATGAACGCCGACCCGGCCTCCCCCGCGCTGCTGGTCTTCACGGCCAACGTGCGGAGGCACATCGGCGCCAAGGACGGCTACTACGGCAACTGCATCGCGCTGCAGATGGCCGTGTCGACGTGTGGCGCGGTGGCGGACGGCGGCACCGCCGAGACGGCGAGGCTGATCAGGCGCGGCAAGGAGCGGATACCGTGCATCCTTGGAGATTACGAGCCCGTGCTGTTCGGCGAGGAGGTCGTCGGCGCGCTCCGCGGGCACGCGCCGCTGTTCGTGTCGAGCTGGGGCGGCATCGGGCTGGACGGGGTGGACTTCGGCGGCGGGAGGCCGGCGAGGGTGATGGCCGACATGGAGGTGACGTGGGCGCCATGCTGCATCCCGTGCCTGCCGTGTTCGAGGAAGGACGGCGAGGGCGTGAATGTGCTGGCGTTCTGCGTCAGGGAGGAGCACGCCGACGGATTCCATGCCGAGCTGGCGACGCTCCACTGAACCATGCAGGCAGCCTGTTCGAGTGTCATTCCTTCTCATCGACTCGTTGTTTTTGTGATTCAGATCTTGCCAACGGCAGATGATTGAGTTTCATCGCTGCAGCGGGCAGATTCATGTTTTTTAATTAATAATTTTGCCGTGTATATCTTTTTTTTAAAAAACATTCAATCTATTCATTTTCAATCATGGTAGTACAACAAGACACTAGAAATAATAAAAATTACATCCAGATCCGTAGACGACCTAGCGATGACTACAAGCACTAAAACGAGCCGAAGACGCGCCGCTGTCATCGCCCCTCCCTCGCTGGAGTCGGGCAAACCTTGCTGTAGTAGACAGTTGGGAAGTCGTCATGCTAAGGCCCCATAGAGCCAACGCACCAGCAACCGCCGCGGATTAAGAGTGTAGATCAAAATGATCCAATTTGAAGACACACGAACGACGAACAGATCCGAGCAAATCCATCATAGACAGATCCGCCGGAGACATACCGCCACATGCCCACCGATGATACTAGACGCATCACTGGAATGGAAGCTAGGAGGGGAGACCTTTATTTCATCTTCAGGGAGTCGTCACAGTCTCGCCTTCCTGAGCAGGACACAAACCCTAACTAAGTTTGAAAAAAGATCTAAAAACAGAGCCCTCCCATCGACAAAGAGCGAGATCCACTCCGCCTCCATGGCCCTAAGGCCATACGAGACGGGAGGGACCGACGTCGGCACCAGTGGGAGGCAGAATACCCTAGCTTGTTGAAGGTGGCGACAGGCTAGGTCAAGAAGATATATTTCGCAAGAAATATAGTTGGTGCGTGGTTACGTGAGGCTGCGTATATCCTTGACGTCGGTATTAATTTTGTTGTGTCGTTGTAGACCATATTTTGGCCATCTTATGTCGAAAAAATGTAAGGCGGAAGTTGGTTTATATGAACTTTACTCGTAAGTGAAAGATGTTTGAGTTTGAGGTGCCTGCATATTCACGTTTTGTTTAATAGTTTCGTTGCATACATCCTTGACATTTTTATGTCGTGTTGTTGCAGAAGCCAGATGAATTTTTTTCATTTGATGAATTATTATATGAGAGTGTGTAGGGCTCATGAAGATGTGACATAATTTCTAAGTATGACATACACGTCATTTCATCTCAAAACAAGCTTATTTTCCTCGTGTTAGTTTGTTTTTCTTTCTTTTTTTTACACCGAACACAAAACACGCATCACTCAGCATGCCCGCGTCCACGTCTTCATGTACACAGTGAAAGCTAGCTACGCATCACTAGTTATGAGTACGGTTTACATGCATGCACACTTACACGATCACTCATTCTATCTACTAGCCTGTGTGCATCATTCGCCTCTGTGTGCATACTATCACAATTACTTGATATGAATTCAAAAAAGTTAGCGGATGTAAAAATATTTGTGAATATAAAATGCCCACGAGTTTTGAAAAAGAAAGTGTTTTCTTATAAAATAAAATAAAACACAAATTTGAAAAATCAAGATTTTCAGAAAAGTTCATAATTGAAAATGTTCGTGACTTTTTATAGAGAAGATGAAAACGAAAAAATCTTGAATATTTTTTAAAATGTGGAGATGCAACTGAAAAAAATGGATCGGACCGCAGTTATATATGTCGAGGAAGGTCTTGTAACTCAGACAAATCATGGTCCGGCCCATAATGACCACGACCAGCAAAAACTCCAAGCGAGAGTTTCCGAAATCACTAATTAAGTAGTACTCGTTGCAAAGAACACTCCACTTTCCCAGGTCGCGACAAGCGGCGCACATGCAGCATGCCACTTGTCGCAACCTGAAAGTTTTCCTTTTTTTTGTAGATCCATTTATTCAAAATGTTTTATTTTTTAAACCGTGCGTTCAAATCTCGAACCGTTTTCACTATTGGATTCCTCGTGTCGAAATCTTCAAAACTAGATCTCATGTTGATAAGTTTTGATGAACTTTTTTTCACGAAAAAACAGGACGAAAAAAACCGGGCAAAAAAAACCAAAACCAGGAGCACGGTTTTTTTCCCTTTTCGAAAGAGACACGTCCGTGCCTCTCACGAAAATCACGCCCGTGCCTTTCGTGGAAGCAAAACTGTGACTCTCGTGGAAGGAAAAAAAACAGAAAACACGTTTTTTCCCGTTTCTGAGAGGCACGGCCGTGACTCTCGCGAAAGCACAACCGTGCCTCTCACGGAAGCAAAACCATGGCTCTCGCGAAAGAAAAAAACAGAAAACGCGTATTTTTTTCCCTTTCTGAGAGGCACGGCCGTGACCCTCGCGAAAATACAACCATGTCTCTCGTGGAAGCAAAACCGTGACTCTCGCGAAAGAAAAAAAACAAAAAACGCGTTTTGTTTTCCCTTTTCCGAGAGGCACGGCCGTGACTCTCGCGAAAGCACAATCGTGCCTCTCGCGGAAGCAAAACCGTGACTCTCACGAAAGAAAAAAAAAGAAAAAACGCGTTTTTCCTTTTCCGAAAGGCACGGTCGTGACTCTCTCTAAAGCACAACCGTGCCTCTCGCGGAAAAAACCGTGACTTTCGTGAAAGAAAAAAAAAAGAAAACGTGTTTTTTCGTGTAAATTTTTTTTCAAATTTTTTTGATCGAAAAGCTAAGGAAGACCGGGGGAAAACCAAAACGTAAAAAAACTTTTAAAAAGACGAAAACGCGTACGAAAAAATAAAATAAAAACAAAATCCGGAGGAAGTGTCCAGAGCGCGACGCGTGGCGAATGGCTGAGAGCGCGCCAAGTGGCATTGATCATTGTGAGGCTCCCGAAGGAGCGCTCGTTGACTAGTTGCTCCCGAGAGTTTCCTCTTGACTCGCTTAAGGCGAGAAATAGTCGCCGCGCGTCCTTTTGACGCTCGCTAGTGGAAACTCCTATAGGACTCATATTGCGTCGAATAAAGCGCACGCCGCACAGGGGGGTCCATGACTAGGCCGGGGAATGCAAAAATGCCGAAAAATAGAGCACTTGAGCTGATCACTTCAGCGTACTAATGTTTCTCGCGAACCTTTAAGAACAGACAACAGTGTCAGATTTGAAGCATTTATTGATATTTTTAATACTTCCAGGAAATTATGAAGAATTTTGGGATTTCGTTTCATTTTGAAAACGCACAACATTATTTTTAAAACGTGACAAAATTTTATAATGCCAAACATTTTTTCACAAGCATAAAGAAAATAAAAAATATTTAAAATTATGACCATTTTATAAAATTAACAATAATTTTTGAAAATTCTAAACATTTATGCAAAAACAAGAACAAATTTTGAAATAGAAACATTTTTATACAAAAAAGTAAACTTCACAAAAAAGACAAAAATGAAAACATGAACAATTTTTAAAATCCAGAATTTTCCTAATAATTTAACGAATTTTCAAGTTTTTGAACTTTCTTCAAAGATATGAAGAAATTTTAAAAATATGAACACTTTTTGAATTTGAGAATTTTTTTTGTAATCATGAATATTCTTTTGAATATGAGAAAAAAAATTGTAATCACGAACAGTATTTAAAATTCTAATTTTTTTTTAAAAGCAAATATGTTTTAAATACTGTTTTTATTTATAATTTTTGGAAAATAAACAAGAAATAGAAGGGAAATAAGAAAAAGAAATAGAAAACCAGAAAAGAAAAAAGAGAAAAAACTAGAAAACCCAGAAGGTATCGTTTCAGAAAACCTTTCTCCAAGGTTTCCAAAACAGATACAGACCGGCTTTGAACCTTAGAAGGTTGCCAAAACTGGAAACCTGCTTAGCGCTGTAAATGGGCCAGCCCACTCGGTCGGTTGCTCGCACCTCCTATGCGAAGCGTCGACAGTAAAAATCACCAATTGAGGAGTACTTATTCCAAAGAACACTTTCATCTTCCTAGAATCGACAAGTGATGCGCTGCATGTGCGTCATTTGTCACGACCTGAGAGTTTTCCCCTTGTTTGTAAATCCGTTTAATTAAATGATTTATTTGTTTGCGTTCAAATCTCGAACTGTTTTACCGTTGGATTCCTTGCGTTCAGATCTTCAAAGTTACATCCCATGTTTATATGTTTTGATGAACTTTTTTAATGAAAAAATCGGACAAAAAACCGGACGAGAAAATCAAACATGGAGCACTTTTCTCCCTTTCCGAAAGCCATGCCTTTCGCGGAAGCATAACTGTGCCACTCGCGGAAAGAAAAAAATAAAACATGTTTTTTCCGTCTCTGAGAGGTTGTTCCTCTCACAGAAGCAAAACGGTGCCTCTAACAGAAAAAATGAAGAGAAAATGTGTTTTTTTTCGTTTATGAGAGATACAACTAAGCCTATCGCAGAAGTAAAACCGTGTCTCTAATGAAAGGAAAAAAACACATTTTTCGGTTTTCAAGAGGGTCATGCCTCTCGCGGAAGGAAAAAAGAACACCTTCTTTCGCGTAATTTTTTGTTGTCCAAAAGTTAAGTAAGATCGGTGAAAAGTAAAAAAAAACACACGAGAAAAACCTCCTAAAAAGTTGAAAACATGTGTGAAAAAAATCGGAAGAAAGCGCCCAGAGCACAAAAAGTGGCGGCTCGCTCTCAGCGCACCCCCAAGTGACCCTTGGGGAGGCTGAGAACAAGCGCTGCTCAGTACGGGTGGGCATAAAAACCATTGAAATTTCAGTTTTTCTTTTGGCTAGTATAGAAAAATTCGGTTTTCACACTTGCTAACCGAACTAACTTTTCTCGGTTCGGTAGTACCCAGGTTAACCGAATAAAAAACCGAGTGTATGCGAAGGTGCTGAATGAACAATCAAACTAGCTTGCTCTCCGGCGCCGGAATAAAATATCGCGCACCAGATCATGCATGCAACTTCTTTTAATGAGACAAGGAGCACATGCAGCTTGTTGGATCAGTCCACGGGGAACATATTTTAGGCTGGCCATACTGGGCGGTAACATAACCCATATCATATACTTGAACTAGCAAACATATTTATATGACAGACAATTAAAGAAAGTGGTTTAGAATAATAT